TCATCTAGTAGCATGGGGTTCCGTTCACCCCACAGTTACACCTAACGTGGGATACTCTAACACTGGTTCTATGTTACCCTCTTGGTACAGTTCGCGTGCCACTGTACTGTACGCGAGCCGGGCAAGGGCCTGGGGATTGAAAGAACACACAGAGACCTGGGTCATTCGAAAGGAAATCAGCTGACTGCCATTTATTCAACTTTGGAGAAATCCTTAAAAACCTATCTGCTGCACAAGGAATATCCCCCCCCCCCCAGGTGGAAATTGCCACACCCAAGATGGAGTAAACAATGCCCTACAGCTAATCACCAGGCGGGGCAGAGGGAGCACAAAAACAAACAGAATGTGTTAGCTGGCTGACCAGAAACTGTCCTCAAGTTACCACAGGAGCAGGGGTAGACCCGGGCCCTACAGGATTCACTTTCACACTCTGATGTACAAAACTCTTCAAAGACCCAGGCATTGTGAAGTATTAACAAAGCATTGCTCCTTTTTTCATTTTGAGAAACTTCCAGATGAGATCTTTAGAAAGTTGTTTCTTGGGCTGCTATATGAGTTTCTCCTTCCTTCACGTTAGTCACTGAAGTGAAGTGAAGCCTGCTAACTCGCACTCGCAGAGCTGCTCAGAGTGGTGATGAAGACGGTACCCACAGGACTAGGTCTGCAGTCAGTACTCAGCCCTCCGCCTTGACTGTCTGCACAGTAATTCCCTCTCCTCCTTTAAGCACTTTAACCATCTGACCACAGGACACCTCACTCATGGTTTTCCACCTTCCAGGCCATTTGTCTCTGCTTCCTTTGCTGTATTTGCCCCCTTCCAGCCTCTGCCCAGTAGAGCACACAGACGTGCATTGGTCCTGGCTTTTTTATTTATTTAAAATAAATAAATTATTTATTTATTTTTTGATTTTTATTTATGTACATAAATAAATAAATATTATTTATTTATTTATGTACATGAGTGCTCTGTCCTCGTGCACACCAGAAGAGGACATCAGATCACATTACAGATGGTTGTGAACCACCATGTGAATGCTGGTAATTGAACTCAGGACCTCTGGAAGAGCAGCCAGTGCTCTTAATCACTATGCCATCTCTCCAGCCCTAAGTCCTGACTTCTTTTCTCATAACTGTTAATATCCTACAGCAGCAATGCCCAACTTGTAGCTTCTGGGTCACATACAGCCCAACATAAAATTATAAACTTATTATGAAACATTTTGCATATGTGGTTGCTATTTTTCTTTTTTTCGGGGTTTTTTTGTTTGTTTGTTTTGGGTTTTTTTGTTTTGTTTTTTTGGTTTTTTTGGAGGGGAGGTTGAGACAGGATTTCTCTGTAGCCCTGGCTGTCCTAGAACACTCTATAAACCAGTCTGACTGGGAATGCAAAGATCTACCTGCCTCTGCCTCCCAAGTATTGGGAGTAAAGGCATGTGCCTCCATGCCTGGTAGTTTTACATTTCCAGAACATAAAGTTTATAGATAACAGTATGGCCAAGAGAAGCCAAAATGTTGGATACCCCTGACTGCTTACTTACATTCACTCCTGAGCTCTTGACACATATCCCACTCTCTTAACGCCTCTACACTGGACTGTAAATTCCATGTGAGCAGGAACAGTTATGCCTTGGTCGTTTCTGTATTTCATGTTAGAAGAAAGCCTGGCATATAGTAGATACTTGACAAATGTTTGAATTGTTTTTCTGTAGCAAGGACAGACGTTAAAGAATTAAAATGTCTGCTAGGGGGATGATTCAGGGGTTAAAGCACTTGCCACACAAACATGCCCAGAGTTCAGTTTACCAAAAACCATTGTCTCTTTGGCATGGCAGCCCACCTGTAATTCCAGCCTCAGAAAGCAGAAGCAGGGACTATCTAGAGCAAGCTGATAAGCAAGACTGACCATATCAGTGAGCTCTGGGTCTGATTGAGAGCCCCTGCTCCAGTGAATATGTGGAAAAACATGGAGGATGGTACCTTGGGCCTCCATGTCCACAGATACACACATCTAAAAACACACAACACACACACATAAAAAAAAAAATGGAAGAAAAAGAAATTTAACAGTAGTCTTTTGTTTGCTGCTAGCATCTTGAATATAATTCATTTTTTTCAATCCTCTACTTTCTAACAGTTCCTAGTCTGAGCCTTCCCAATGGTACCTTCTGTTTTAACTAAGAAAATATTGTACTTAGTAACTGGCAAAGAGATCTGTATGAATCCTGTAACCCAAGGCCTAACATGGGACTGACACCAGACAGTGGAAGCCAACCTCTCAGCCTTCTCTTCTCATTTCCTCCTCATCACAGGACCGTCTGGCCCGATGCACCATGCATTGCAATGACAAAGCCAAAGACTCCATAGATGCAGGAAATAAAGAGCAGCAGGTAAAGCGACAGCTGGACAGCTGTGTGGCCAAGTGTGTGGATGACCACATGCACCTCATCCCAACAATGACCAAAAAGATGAAAGAGTCTCTGTCATCCATCGGGAAATAAAATTGTTTGCCAGTGACCATGGGTCTGAGGGCACGCTATTTAGAAGGAAGAATGGAAGTTTAATCTGTTAAGCAAGTTTATGAATGAGGAAAACTCAGGACACAGCAAGTTCCAGGCAAATGCTGCTCACCTCTGGACACCAGTTCCTTTGCATCTGAATCTTAGAAGGTGAAGTGGAAAGAAGCTGGTGCTGAAATTCGGATGACATATAGCACAGGAGAGAATTCTAGATCCTAAATTTTCGTGTGCAGGTGCTTGTTCTGGCAAGCAGAGATTGCCCTTTTACCAAAGGCTCAGATTCTCACTACACAGACATCTGAGCTTCCTTCAACCTGCTGGTAAAGTTTGAGGAAAGGTGTGTCTGATACCAAGCTCCTGTTTCCCACAAGTGTCCCCACACTTTACATGTGCTTCAAAACAACACCCACTTTAGAGGGAGGAAAGGGGTTCCTTTGTCTTATATGCAAGGGCACAAAGTGGGTTTAAGATACAGGAGGGAGAGTAAGTAGCTTGAATAACTTCTGAAGGCTCCTTGTACCTTTTGGCCATCAAGATGGGAAAATCCACTTATTCAAATTCTGTCAATTCTGGAAGCCCCTGAAGGAGGGCAGTATCACAATGCATAGGAAACAGCTTCCTTCTCTGACTTCTGTGTAAAGTGACACATTTTCATGAAGAACAAGGGATGTGATTGTCACTCACATATCAGTAGCTGAGAGTAAAGAGTCAAATGGGAACTGTTAAGATGTACTAGGTTTGGGAAAACCTAAATTTTACAAAGTAAAAGTTCAAACCCAGTATTATTCCCTCTGCTCCCTGAATTCACAGAGCCTTTTGGAGGTAATCCTCTAGCAACAAGACCTAGAACCAACCAATTTGGGCCAAGGAAAACTAGGACCACTATAGAGCAAGAGAGGCACACACCTTACCAAATGCCATTTTTGCCTGGGGTTTTGCAGTGCAGTGTTGCTGCCCCAACATGGCACCTTATCTTTTGGATAAGTACTATGTTGTATTTATACCAATTAATTACTTGAAACAGTGATGATATTTGTCGATTTGCTGTCAAGCCTGCAATATATTTTCCATGTGGTTTTGTTTTTAAATAAAGTTTCATTGTCTCCAGCTCTTTCCTAGTGGGTAGTGATACATCAGTATGCCTCTGAATTTTTTTTTTTTAAGATTTATTTATTTATTATGTATACAGTATTCTCAGTACTCTGCCTGCAGGCCAGAAGAGGGCACCAGATCTCATTCCAGATGGTTGTGAGCCACCATGTGGTTGCTGGGAATTGAACTCAGGACCTTTGGAAGAGCAGGTGGTGCTCTTAACCACTGAGCCATCTCTCCAGCCCCCTATGCCTCTGAATTTTAAGACATCCTGAGAGTGCATAGTAGCAGATGGGAAGTATTAAGGCAAAGTCAGAGTATCATAGCTTGAAGTCTGTTAATACAGAAAAGATACCCAGAGCCAAGTGATGGTGGCACACACCTTTAATCCCAGCACTCAGAGACACTGTCTCAAAAGCCCCTCCAGAAAAAAAAAAAAAAAAGGATCGGGATGCATTGGTTGAGGGGAGGATGATTGCCCTGGTGTGAGGACAGCCTGGACTACATATAGAGACGTCAAAAAAAAAAAAATAGCTGAGTTGTTTCAACGTTCGTTTTCTAGTTCAAACTAACACACCAAATGGTGGGAAGAGTACATAGTTTAAGACTCATTGTGCTGGTTAATTTTCGTCAACGACACAAACTAGTCATAAGGTTAGGAACCTCGGCTGAAGAGCTGCCTCCAACCGACAAATCTGTGGACAGCAGGTCTGGGGATGTTCACTTGAGGACAGCGCCATCCCGAGAAGGTGCCCACCTTTATCTATCCCCAGGACACGAGGCAGAGGCAGGCGCAAGACCTCAGGACTTGCATGTGGTTCACATGCATTTTATGTGCAGGGACCGAGATGTGCCAAGTGGGGTTCGGGAGGCAGTGTTGGAACTGCGGGCTGCGGGTTAAGAACACCAGGCTCTGGATTCACATCCTAGTCAGCCTCGGCCCCTTCCGCTACTGGTGCAGAGAAGCCATTCGTTAATGTGGGTGCTTCAGGAGCCGTCACCTTCGCCTGGGTACACTTAGCAAACAAGGGGCTGCGTGGTGCAGCAGCCTGTAACCACGGGAGGCAGAGACAAGACGGGTTCTAGACCAGCGTCGACTACACGGCGAGCCAGACGCCCGCATCAATTCCACCAAAAACGGGGAGGACGAGGAAAAGGGAGGAGAAACGACGAAAATGTAAACAGAAAGAAAAAAGAAAAGAGAAGAATTTTAAAAAGTGACACAGAGAAGCGCGGAACCCGCCGTTTGAATTTCACACAAAAGCCGCTTACTCGAGGCACCGCCTCTCAGTCCTGGCCAGTCACAACACGACCGGAAGCGCGGCGCTGCTTCAGGCGGTCTTCTCAGTATCGCGAGACTAAGGTAATGCTTACCGGAAAGCGGTTGCCTCGCGCGGCGGTGACGTCAGACATCCGCGCCTGGCTTGCCGCGCGTGCGTCTGTAAGGCCGTCCGCTCCTTTCCGTCGTGCCGAGCCCGCTGAAGAGCCGCCATGAGCAAGGCCCACCCTCCTGAACTGAAGAAGTGAGTAAAGCCCACCCGGCCGAGGCCGCGCGAACCTTCCTCCCGCCTTGCCTCGGCTGCGCCCGCAGGTCCCGGTGCTCGTGGGTGCCGGAAGTGGCCCTGAAGTCCGGTCGGCATGGTTACCGCGGTGGCGGTTCTCCGCCTTCCAAAGGCGGCGGCCAGAGGGCTACCCTGCTAGGGACCAAGGCAGCAGTCTACACCGAGGCGCGTGGTTCCTGTGAGGAACCAGAAACTCACAGCTTTAAAAAGTGCATTTGGCGGGCTGGAGAGATGGCTCAGCGGTTCTTGCTGAAGACCAGGGTTCAGTTCCCATCACTCACATGCAGCTCACAACTGTAACTCAAGATCTTACACCCTCAGCCGGGCGGTGGTGGCGCACGCCTTTAATCCCAGCACTCGGGAGGCAGAGGCAGGCGGATCTCTGTGAGTTCGAGGCCAGCCTGGTCTACAAGAGCTAGTTCCAGGACAGGAACCAAAAGCTACGGAGAAACCCTGTCTCGAAAAATCAAAAAAAAAAAAAAAAAAGATCTTACACCCTCACACAGACATACATGCAGGCAAAACACCAATGCACATGAAATAAATTATTTTTTAAAGTGCATTTGGGAAGCCGGACTTGGTGGCTCACTACTTTAATCCCAGCACTCGGAGGCCGAGACCAGCCTGCTCTACACAGCAAGTTCCAGGAGAGTTAGGGCTGTTACACAGAGGGTCAATACTCAGGAGGTTGAGGCAGGAGGATTACCGCGCGTTCCAGGACAGTCTAGGCTAAAAAGTGAGACCCTGACACAAACAGAATGTATTTGTATTCCTTTGGACTTTTGGAAGTACCGTTCCTCTTTCTTTTCTCTTTGTAAAAATTTTTAAGTTTATAGTGAAGTTTTTTTATCTGTGTGTGTGTGTTTGATGCCCACAGACATGTTTGTGCACGTGGGTGCAGTGCCTACGGAAGCCAGAGAGGACTTCTGATCTGGATTCGGTGGAGCAGTTAGTTGTGGGAAGTTGTGAGTTCCTTGGCGTGGGTACTTAATGCCAAACTCGTGTTCTCTAGAAAGCAGAAAGTGCTGAGCCATTTCTCCAGCCCCAAGAATTAGGTTTCTGATGCATAAACACACTTACTTGCCTTCTTGCATGCAAGTGAAATTTAAATGTTGTGTGGTATCTTGCCCTGGTCATAAGTCCGTAGAAGAGCATCCGTTTTCTAATCAGAGACAGCTAGTTTTTGCATATTTTTAATCTGTGCTCAGTAAAATCAACCAGTAAGACGTCGGTGAGTTCGACAGGACCTAGTTTAAAGCTTTGGTCTCCTTGGACACTACTGACTGGCCTGAGCCTGTCGCATATGTAAGGTTGAGATTCTGCAGGGTGCAAGATTAATACTGGGTCGTTTATCTGGCCACACAATCTGCTTTATGTATATAGCATGTTTATTACTGGTCCTGTAAAGACGCCAGTGTACGGAAAAGGTCATATTTACTAATTTTGTATTTGAGTGCACATTTTTTATCAAAGAAACCTCTATCTGAAACCTTCATTTTTAGTTGGATCTGTTAAAGATCTATTAAACCATAATGTGGACATTTTAAAAAGCAGAAATTACCTTGCACTGTTGGTTTTATTAACGCGCTTGTGAATGAAGTCTTATATTTTCTGGATTCATTGGAATTGGCAAAAAATGATCATTGGTTTAAAAAAAAAAAAAGAACTGTTCTCTACTTGTAATCTTAAATGCCCTTTGAGTCTTTACAGATGTACTTGGGCCTTTCAGAGACTGGAACTAGTGGTTGTGTCTGTATTAATTGTGTTTTGACTTTGGTTGGTTGGTTTGTGGTGTTGTGGTTGAGGCAGGGCCTTATGCATGCTGTTCTATTCCTGAACTTTATTCCCTGTTCCCTGAAGTTTGGTGCCTTCTCTTCTCATCCTTAGATTTTAGGAATTGTAAAATACTGTTAGATTTGCCTCTTTTATTTTCTCATAAGTCCCTCTTCTACCACTTGCTCCTAGTTTAGCATAACAAAGTGGTTCTTAATCATGTCTAAACCATTATCTCAGCAGTTTCCAAGTTGAGCTCCCTGTCCTGAGTGCATTCCCCTTTCCACCTCTTTTTCTTTTATAGTTTTCTTTTTAGATTTTATTTATTATGTATACAGTGTTCTGCCTGCATGCCAAAAAAGGACACCAGATCTCATTATAAATGATTGTAAGCCTCCGTGTGGTTACTGGAAATTGAACTCAGGACCTCTGGAAGAGCAGCCAGTGCCCTTAACCTCTGAGCCATCTCTCCAGCTCTTAAAATGTGTTGTCACTAGTAAGTCTTGGAGCTGATGGAGTCTGCTGTAACAGCCCTTTTGTAGCTTGCTCTGTAGACCAGGCTGGCCTTGAACCTGAGATCCTCCTGCCTTTGCCTCCCGAGTACTGAGATTAAGGTGTGTGCATTTCAGCGCAGATGGGATGTTCAAGAGCTAAAGTTACAAGTGGTGTGGCGTGGGTGTTGGAAACTGGTCTCAGGTCTTCTGGAGGAATATCAAGCTCCTGAGTATCAACACCTGAGCCATCTTCTCTAGCCCCAGAATATTATTTTAATTTAGCTGATTCTGTGTTTTTTTATACTTTTTTAAGTAGGTCATAATTTTTACTCTTGCTTTTTCAGATTTATGGACAAGAAATTATCATGTAAGTTTCTTACCAACTTAATTTCTCTGTTTCTTTTTGTCTTAGCAATATATAATCTTTGGAGACAATATAAATTTAAAGTACACAAATCTAATTCATCTCCATTCAGATTTCTCAGAGTTCCAGCTAGACTTTTTTTTTTTTGCCTAATTTCTAATTGCCAATACCTAATACTTTATATCATCTGTGTCTCCCTGACATCAGAATTGGGAGTTAGTTGCCAATGTTGTGATATTTGAAACTTTATCAACTGTTTTTTCTTTAAACAAGCTACCAAGGATATCAGGCAAGCAGCAATTGCTGGTTTTTGTAAATATGTAGAAAATACAGCCTTTACCTGACCCATGCATGAAGTATATTGAAATTTTAAAATACAGGGGTTTTAACCTTCATTTAATTCTCTAATCTACAATACAACAGCTCTTAACCTTGAACCCTGCTATTTGAAATTTTGGTTCCTTTGTGTAAAGATAATATAATACATCTTATATATGTTGGGGAGGCTTTGTTGGTGGGGAGTCGTTGACACAGGGTCTTGACAGGGTCTTGCTGTGTGGTCTCAGACTCCTTGTGAATCAGCCCTCCTTCGTTATGCCAAGTGTTGGGATTATAGACATGAGACATCACATGTAATGTCTTCATAGGTCCTAAAAGCTAAAATGTAGGAAAGGAAGAACTAAAACATTAGGCTGGTGTTGGGCAGATAGTAAGGGTATGGGGTAGTGGTCACACATCCCAACATCCTCCCTGATATGTGATGGATGGTTGACAGTTAAGGGCTTTTTTGACACTTTTCCCCTTACAGTGAAGTTAAATGGTGGCAGACATGTACAAGGCATACTTCGGGGCTTTGATCCCTTTATGAATCTTGTCATTGATGAGTGTGTGGAGATGGCAACTAGTGGGCAACAGAATAACATCGGCATGGTGGTAAGTAAAGGTGGATGTCAGGGTTTTGTTTAATATGTCTTCACTTCGCTTATCAACTTCTCGGATTAAATCCAAGTTAGTTACCCTATGAAAGGCAAATAAAAGGAAAGATTGAGACTTTGAATTTCGTTTTATCTATGGACACATTCAACTGTGATAATATTCCCGCTATCTCTAGATAAAATCTCATCTCTGCAGACCCTTCTCAGCATAGGTCTTGAAACAGCTAGCTGATGGAAACCGTTTTTGAACTTTGTCCTATAAGACATGACCATTCGTAGCCAGACCTGATTACAGTAAAAATTCTCTAACACACATATGATACCCCAGGATATCTTGTTGATACTATACAGGTTTCAGGAGTTGGCCAAAATGGCTTGGCTGTTTTTATTTGTTTAATTATTTTTATTTGGTGTATATGGATGTTTTGCCTGTGTGTATATCTGTGTGTCATGCGTTTGCCTGGTGCCTATGGAGGCCAGAAGAGAGTGTCAGATCCTCTGGAACTGGAGGTGCAGATAGCCAGTACTGTGAACCACTCTCTCCAGCCCCTGGCTCAGCACTTAAGAGCACTTGTTGATCTTGCAAAGGGCTGGGTTTTTTTTTTGTTTGTTTGTTTTTATTTTTTTATTTTTTATTTATTTATTTATTTTGGTTTTTGAGACAGGGTTTCTCTGTGGTTTTGGAGCCTGTCCCTGGAACTAGCTCTTGTAGACCAGGCTGGTCTCGAACTCACAGAGATCCACCTGCCTCTGCCTCCCAAGTGCTGGGATTACTGGGTTTTGATTCCTAGCGCCCAAGCTGCAGCTGCCAACCATCCTTAACCCCAGCTCCAGGGTATCTAGTGCCCTCCTCTGACCTTCCTGGGCACCAGACGTGCAGCCAAAACTTTCATGTAATAAAAAACTTTAATATAAAATAAGTAATCAGGAAAAATACAGGTTTGGGGCCCACAAATGTAGCTCAGTGTTATAATACTTACCTAGCACACACAGGCCACTACTTTGCATACTTGGCATGAATGCTAAACATTATGACAGCCATTTATGACCGAAAATAAGATAAACCAGAAAGGGGGGTGGGTAAGATAAGGTTCTGGCTGTACGACCTGGAACTCAGGGTACTCCTTCAAGCTCTGAAAGGGCTGGGGTTACCGGTTTGAGCAGCCACCATATGCAACTGAGCTTTCGTACTAGACATGGACTTTCCCACATTCATTAAACAGTAGTCCTGTGGCCACAGAAGAAAGGTTTGAAAGGTTTTTGTGTTCCTCAGTAAGACACGGTATTTAAATTGCAGGACATGCATGTCTTATATACCATAGTCCTCATAAGTGGTACGCCCAGATTTGTACAAGGACATTCTTGTGATAAGAAGTCATATCCTCTCTCCCTACTCCCCCATCTTAGTTAGGGTTTCTATTGTTCTGATGAGACAACATGATCACAGCAACTCTGCTAAAGGAGAACGTTTAATTGGGTCTTGCTTACAGTTCGAAGATTTAGTCTATTATCATTACAGGAAGCATATAGACAGACAATAGTGTGTAACTGAGAGTTCTACATCTGGATCCATATGTAACAGGGAGAGAGCTTGACGCAGGGCCTGGCTTGAGCTTGTGAAACCTCAAAGCCCGTGCATGTCCTCTGAGCCTGTAAGGACCATTTTCCTTCTAACATCTAAGGTGAAAGTATGACCTCAGCCACTGAGCTCAGTGCCCAGCCCCTTGGACTTTTTGGTTTTGCTCAGTCTGGTAGTAGCAAGGTAAAGGTAGCCCCTTTTACTATTTTACTCATGTATTTTAAATGATTTTTTTACATCATTTCAGATTAAAAGCTTATGGTATTGCTTATTTCAGAGCTCAGTGTGGTGATGCACACCTCTAATCTTACCCCTCAGAATCTTAGTGCAATAATAATAATGATTGCTATTCTCAGGAGTATAAATTTATTGGCCCTGTTTAAAGATGAAGAAACAGCTGACGGTTGGCACAATCCTGTAACCCTGGTTCCCAAAAGCTAAGTCACAATGACTTGGCGTCTCATAAAGCTAATCATTACTTTCCAGTCCTGATATCATGGTTTCAGTCTCTTCTAATAGGCCTGGGAGACGTGGTGCTTTACTTCTTGTTGGTGTTGCTTTTGTTTTTTGTTTGTTTTCCTTAAAACAGTATTTCATTGTGCATCCCTGGGTGACCTGGAACTCAGAGAGATCCTTCTGCCTCTGAGTTACTGGGATTAAAGGTGTGTGCCACCATACCTCACTTGTGTCTTTTTTTTTTTAATATTTATTTATTATGTATATAATATTCTGTTTGTGTGTATGCCTGCAGGCCAGAAGAGGGCACTAGACCCCATTACAGATGGTTGTGAGCCACCATGTGGTTGCTGGGAATTGAACTCAGGACCTTTGGAAGAGCAGGCAATTCTCTTAACCTCTGAGCCAGCTCTCCAGCCCCCTCACTCGTGTCTTGATTTAAAAATTAACTTGGTCCCAGCCAGGTGGTGGTGGTGCATGCCTTTAATCCCAGCACACAGAAGGCAGAGGCAGATAGATCTCTGAGGTCGAAGCCAGCCTGGTCTACAAGAGCTAGTTTAGGACAGGCTTCAAAGCTATAGAGAAACCCTATCTCAAGAATGAATGAATAAGATAAGTAACTTTAACTTGGTTCCTGTGGTTTGAGAAAAGCCTCACTGATGTGTCATATTAGAAAAGTATTATTTGTCTTTTAGATTAATTATTTTCGACTGACTTTTTTTCTCTAGGTCATACGAGGAAACAGCATCATCATGTTAGAAGCCTTGGAAAGAGTCTAAACAATGGCTGTTCGGCAGAGGAGTCCACATACTTCCCTGAAGGACTGTTTGACTTGGGTGTAGAATTGAGTCATGTACATTTTCATAAAAAAAAAAAAAAAACCTTTTTGCTAAATAAACTTTTGTGATACTCAGAGTACATGCATCTCTGGTGTTCTGAATGTTGAAGTTGAGTAGTTACTCTTCTCACACCAGATGTTCTTGAGCTGTTTTATGAACTCAAGTAGAAGCTTCTTGACTCAATATGAAAAGAGATAAGAAATCAGTAACATGCCAACGCCTTTAATCCCCCAGCACTTGGGAGGTAGAGGCAGGCAGATCTCTGAGTTTGAAGCCAGCCTTGTCTACAGAGCGAGTTCCAGGACTGGCTCTATAGCTACTTAGAAACCCTATCTCAAAAAAGAAAAGAAGGAAGTCAGTAACACTGAGCAAATGGGCTACAAATGTATGACTTTCAAACATTAGTTCTAGTGCCTTTGACCTCCTGTGACTTCAAATTTGGGTTGAGTCCCTTATACAAAATTCTTGGGACAAAGGAGTTTCATGTTTATCATATGCCATGCCATGATCTGCCTTCGTTACTTTTCTGTTGCTGTGGGAAAACACCATGACCAAAACAATTTACAGGGGAAAAAGTTTGAGGGGGGACGGGGCTTACAGTTTAGAGGATGAGTCTATGACCATCATGATAAGGAGCATGGCAATGGGCAGACATGGTGCTGGAGCAGTGGCCTGGGCTTTTTGAACTTGCAAAGCCTACCTCTAGTAGCACGTCTAATCCTTCCAATCAACTGGGGACCAAGTATTCAAGTACATGAGCCAATGACCGTTCTCAGTGAAGCCACATGAGTTACAGAATTCTTCTGGCATTATGTTAGATGTTGAAAAGCTTTAGCTTTTTGAGTATTTTAGGTTAGGATGCTACATTGCAAGTATACTTTAGCAGGACTGGTAGCCCAGGGGTGGTCGCTTAACAGGCTGAAGGACTTGGGTTCAAAACGCCAACTCTGAGCCACTCCATCCCCACTAAAATAACCCTGAGTTTAGTACAAGAGCAGTAACACAAGACGCAGCATCGCTACTTATGTCTGACTTAATCATAAAGTGGACAGTAGTTGTTTTTTTAATCTTTTTTGTTGTTGGAGTTTTTGTCTTTGAGACAGGGTCTCACTGTGCAACTCTGTCCTGGAACTTGCTGTGTAGACCAGGCTAGCCTCAAAACTCAGCTTACCTCTGCCTCCCCAGTGCTAGGACTGTGTGTGCCACCGTGCCTTGCTAGTGGGGAGAAATTGTGAAGAGTAGGAACAGGCTTCAAAGAACAGCCTTCCTTTATAAGGCGATGCCACCCAGCCCAGGCCTCACAAACTGGAGGCTGCATTCTAGCCCTCAGTCTTTCAAGCAAAGATGTGACCTTTTTTGTGCCTCTGGGTGTGTGTAAAGGAAACCTGTGAAGGATGGTATGTGCACAGGGAGCTCCTGGAACAGCAGAGTGGCTCTAACAAGCCATCATCAAAGGTGGCTGCTGCGGACTCAGCTAAATCTAGTTGAGGCTGAGTGTGGTACTGAACGCTTTTAATGCCAGCATGGCAGAGGTAGGTGGATATCCGAGTTCAGGGTCAGCCTGGTCTAGTGGTGAGCTCCAGACCAACCAAGGCCATCTGACAAGACTTTTGTTTTGATTGTGGCTCTCAGGGATGGAACTGCTGTGAAACAGTGACAGTGTCCTGCACATCTGTTGGATAGATAGTACAGCCCATTATTCAGGCAACTCTGAGAGTCGTTAGTTCTTCAATACATAGGCAGCCATCCTGTGTAGCCAGACTTTAATAATTCTCACTGTGAGCCAGGCGGGTGGTGGCTCACGCCTTTAATCCCAGCACTCAGGAGGCAGAGGCAGGCAGATCTCTGAGTTCGAGACCAGCCTGGTCTACAAGAGCTAGTTCCAGAACAGGCTCCAAAGCCACAGAGAAACCCTGTCTTGAAAAACAAAAAAAAAAAAAATGATTTTCACTGTGTTGTGGGAGTTCTATTATGCTTTTTCCTTTGGGAAATTTTGTGAGGACTTTGAAGGATGAAAATGTATAAAATGGTAGCTTTAAATAATTCTTTGAAAAAAAAATCCCTGCCACCGTAGAATCATATCTGCACACAGGAATCCCCGTTGTGCCCTCCTGGTGACATGGAGAAAAGGAAGGGTGGAGATTTGCTAACTGGGCACACCTAACCCCAAGTATGAAGGGCGTGCAGTCCAGATCCAGAGCTTGGACCGTTAAGGGCAAGAGTTCAGTTAATAAGTATAGAGAGAGCAGAATGATACTGTATAACGGAAGAAGAACAAGACATCAGAACCTTCCCTTTCTGAGTGCATATGAGGGGAACAGGCCCATATAGTAAGACTAAAACACAAAGGGACACAATCAGTGTTTGCAGTACCACCATGCCCCTTGAAGGAAAACTACTCTTAAAGTGTAGTGGAGTGTCTGGTCCCCAAGGGAGTCCTTTCCCAAAGTCAGGCGTCTGGAAAAGGGCCTCCATTCCCTCAGGGGCTTGAGGAAAGTTCCTGCTTGCTAAGAGCAGTCTTTTTCCTTATCTCTGGTAGGAGGAACTTGTGCCCCTAACACTGACTAATGAACCTTTGAGAACAGGCATTTACATACTTGCTGAATTTACCACTTTTGTCTGGGAGCTGGCTACTTTCATCCCTGACTCACTGAGTCTGCAATTATATTGTGCAGTTATAGAGCATAATAGGCGCAGGCTTTTTTCAGTAAACAGGCAGCCATCCCAACACACCCTCAGATCTCTCACATCAGGTCGGTCTCCTCCTTCCCTTGGCCAACCCCGCACCTCCTCTTCAGGACCTGAACCCACAGGAGCTGGACTCTGGCAGGTCTCTGTTCAGTTTCTTTAAAAGGACCCAACCTCCTAGTTGGAAAGCATATGGTGGGCCCTAGGGTAAGAATTTCAACCTCTGCTGCTCCAGCCATAGGGTTATGGGCGCCTGTGCAGCCTGAAATCTGAATGCAAATCCTCATACTTGAACACTAGAGGTAAGTCCTCGCTTACCCATTGAGTCATCATCCCCTGCATTCTCTGCAGCTTAGTTTTTCCTTTACTGTCAGTCAAGGTCTCTGGGTTGTGTGTCTTTCCAGGGAACTGGAACTCTGTTCCCCTCCAGCTCCTGCCCTGTCCTTTACTGTGGAGAGGAAGGCAGGATCATTATCTCCTTAAGGAGTCAGAGGTTCCAGAGCTGGAGGTAATGTCCTTATGTAAACTCAAGTCACTTGGGAGATTTTTTTGTGTGTGTTTCAGGGACTTGCCTCAGTCCAGCTTGAGAAAACAGTGACTAGAACAGTGTGTTGTTCCCCATGGCCTCAGGTGTCTGGCTGAAACCCACTTGCCGATCTTTAAAAGGATATAGTCCCTAAAGGATGAGTTGGGACCCCTGAGCACTGGGCAGCTTTCATATTGGGCGTTCTGTGCACAACTGGTAGCTGGGTTGCTTCCTTTATTGTCTGGTGTGACCTTGACCCTCTGAGGTGTGGTTATTCAGTTAGTGGGTTTCCTTGGTAGTAAGTCCTAGTGAGTGTGGTAGCTGGGTCAAACACCAGCTTTCCTGGTGACATGACTGAGTTTTCCTTTCAATAAAAAAGGTCTTGTCCTTTATAACCCACGTACCCCCTGCCTCTCCTCTGAACACACAGGTGACGGATGAAGCCTGCCCAAGGTCTGGAGAGATGTGAAGATGAGCTCTTTTTACTATTCTATTTGTATGATAACATTTTTCAAAATATCCCGTTATTTTATTTTTATATTCATTCATTCATTTTTTGTGGGGCGTCTTGTCTACATGTATGTTTGTGCACCACATGAGTGCCTAGTGCCCATGGAGCTCAGAAGAGAACACTGAATTCACTGGAACTGGAGTTACAGATGGTCATGAGCCACCATGTGGGTGCTGGAAATTAAACCTGAGTCCTCTGCCAGAGCAACATGTCCTTTGACCACCGAACTGTAGCTAGTCTTTCTCGTCAGACTTTCTCTGGACCGCCAGTCCCCAAATAATGACATGGAGAGTTATTATTAATTATGAAATCTGGCTTTTTGCCTAGGCTTGTTCCCAAATAGCTTTTATAATTCAAATCCGCCTGCTTCTATTTATCTGCACTCTTCCACAGGTCTCTTTACCACTCCTCCACTGTGTCTGGCTGGCTTCTGCCTCAGCAGATTCTAACCCTGAGTTCCTCTCTCTGCCCAGAAACCCCACCTAACTTCTGCCTAGCTATTGGTCGTTCAGCTTTTTATTAAGCCAATCACATTGACACATCTCCACACAGTGGTCAAATATCTCACAACACTGAGCCTTCTCTCCAGACCGCATGAAAGGATTTTCTCATATATTTAAGATTGGATTATATTCTATGGCATGTGTACATGGTGTCTAGTTGATAATCACATTCACATCTATATCCACCCCATTTTCCTCTTTTATAATTTAATGAGATTTGTCTGCAGTGCTGACGGCAGGTCATTACTTTTAAATTATTTTATCTGATGTGTATGGATATTTCCTACATGTTCAGTTGAAACCTACTGCTCACTTCTGCTTCATCAGGAAAGCCCCATTCCTCCCTCCCTCCTTCCCTTCCTCTCTCTCTCTCTCTCTCTCTCTCTCTCTCTCTCCTCCAGACCCCACCCTCTCAGAATCTCCAACAAGGGAAAGCATCAAACAGCCTAGTTCTGCATTCTTGGTGGCCATAGCAGCTCCTCCCCTGAAGTTGCCAACCCACTCAAGTCCCCACCTAAAGTGGTCACTTTTGACCACACTTGGGCACAAACCCAGTTTATGGCCGACACGTCTTCACCCCTCACCTATAATCTATGTAAGCTCCCTGCTTTAGTTCGGGTGTGTGACTTTCTGGCCTCTATCTCTAGGACTAGAGAGCTCACCAGGGAGTTGCTTTGCTCAAATAAACAATCTGTTCTTTTACTTTTCCTCTTTGGCTTGATCTGGCTTACTGTGTCAGCAGAAAAACAGTATTATTGTAATATAAAAAAATTAGTACAGGGCTGGAGAGATGGCTCAGTGGTTAAGAGCATTGCCTGTTCTTCCAGAGGTTCTGAGTTCAATTCCCA